AGGCTTCTTTTATGTACCTTGTCCTTTCAGGATGTAGATGATTATAGCTCTCCACAACTTCCTATCCTTTTCAGTTCTAAACACTGTATAAAATGATGTTTATAAAACTGTTCTTGTAGATCATTACTAGTAAGTGTCATCCTTACTAATCTTTGTAATAATCTATCTTTGTACTGGAATAGGTGAAACTTACTAATGCATAATGGTACTTACGAGAATAATGATTAGTAAGTCAATCTCGCAAACCATTATTAGTGAGTTTGATCTTTGCTCAGTGCTCAGATATGCCAAATTAGGTTAACCATAATTAATTATCCTGAATTAATACCTAGTTAATAATTCTTGTTGAGTGCTCCACTAATTTAACCTTGTACCAAATTCAACAAACCTTACCACAAATATTTATTACTTTTAGCTTTAGATGCCCTAGCTTATTAGTTTCATAAGTATATTTAGAAAAGAGAATTTTTGACACATCAATATTTATATAGGTCATATATAATCTTTAATTATGTTTTTTTTTTAAATTGGCATTCTGTATTAAAAATAGGGAAGAGTTATCATATTACTAAACGGGACTGTCCTTTTCTTGTATCTTGTACATATGCACAAAAATAGTGATTGTGAAAAGATACTTTTGCACATTGATATTTTAATGGGTCATGTAATATATAATATCTTTTTATATTTGATATAGAAATCATTGTCTAAAATTTTGAGGGGTTAATACAGGCTTATTTTTCACAGTATGTGTCAATTAGCATTAGAAAATAAGGAAACATTGCAAGCTTCTTTGCGCTATTACTATTTTCATGGAGAGGGTATTCAGATGAACTATATTCTTTAATTCCACCAGCTCTAACCTTCATGGTTAAAACTCACCTTACTATAATCATTGTAGCAAACAACCCTCATTTCCTTCGTATTTTATTGGTGAGATGTAAATTCTACTCAAGTAGTTTCTCATGAACTGTTGCTTTGTAGAGGATGTTTCCCCGGTAACTACACTATTAACCTGTTCAAATTGAGGGCTGTTATCTTTCTCAGATACCCACATAAACTGTGCCTTTTACTCTGTAACTGTTTAACTTGAGTGGTTTTTGGGCCTTGTACAAAGTGAACATTACTGTAAAAACAAATAAAGAGTGTCTAAATCAGTTTTTCCCCAAAATTTTTATCTGTGACCCCTGTTCAGAGGAACATGATTCTTTTCAGACTGATAACCCTCAGGTTTGAAACATTATTTTAGTGTTTCTGCACTTATTTTTTATCCAATAAATCTTACTAAATGTACTTTTAATTTAAGATGTCTAAACTAGCCTACAAGTCTCTTATACTGATTATATAGAACATAAGATGACTTCATGTAAAAGGGAATAAAAACTGATAAGGAAATGAGGATAAGGAAATAAGAACTGATAAGGAAACAAGAACTGATAAGGGAATAAAAACTGATAAGGAAATGTGGATAAGGAAATAAGAACTGATAAGGAAACAAGAACTGATAAGTGAATGAGAACTGATAAAGTAACAAGATCTGATAAGGCAACAAGAACTGATAAGGAAATAAAAACTGATAAGGAAACAAGAACAGATAAGGAAATAAGAACTGAGAAGGGAACAAGAACTGAGAAGGGAACAAGAACTGATAAGGGAATGAGAACTGATAAGAAAACAAGAACTGATAAAGGAACAAGAACTGATAAGGAAATAAGAACTGATAAGGAAATAAGAACTGATACTATGATTACATCAAACTTTGGCACCTTTCTATCTGAATTTCTTGAATGAAGAATTATCATTATTTACATTACATACATGCAGACTATTGTTTTCTATCTCCATTGTTGTTATCATCCAATTTGGTGCACAAATATTCGATAATTAACTGATTGGAATACATCAAGAATTTTTAGATATTTATTGATGTTTTACTATTCACAATTATTTTCCTGTTCAAGAATCTCAGTGACACTTTATATTAGAAAATTATGATGAAAATATATTCCTTTATATTTTATGAAAATGAAGGTCATGATTATTAATTTTGGAAACCACTGGTATATACCACTGAAAAAGCAAAATAAAATATCCGTTTTGAAAACTGCATTCTTATGAGTGACTGGGATACATAAATGGTTTTTAGCCTTAACATTGGTTGTTCATCATGAGGTATTGAAATCTGTTATACAACAAGCGTATTATTCTAGGATTAATAATTATTAAGTTTATCAGATATATATTTTTTATTTTCATTATATTTTTTTTTTTAAACTACCTCATTTTGGTCATGATCATGGGTTTGAAAATGACTGCCTATGCTTTACGCATAGAATTTACTGTTAATATAATTTACAGGATAGTCCGAAAGTCTTGTCACCCTGTACATAATATAATTTTTCAGACCACCCTGTAGGACCAAAAGAGTTGTTTCATGAAATAAAACAAAAATATTTTTCCTAGAATTTCTTTTTTATTTTTCTGGTTTTGAGGGATGTAAGTGTACCAAATCTATTTGTTATACCATAGGATTAATAATTATTAAGTTTTGACATTTCTTATACTAATTAAATAAAATATAAGACAAAACTTTATGTAAACATATCATGTGCATATCGCTGTATGCTAGTCTTCTAAAATAACAATGCCAGAAGTGAGTAAGCAATGATAATGCACTTGTGTCAGTTTCTAGCCAAATTATTGAAGTAGCTAATCACTAAACAACCATTGAACCTGAAACATAATTGTCTTTCACTTAAAATCTCTACCATTAATTGGTTTGCTGCAGTGTAAAAATAACCAGGTGGATATGTCGGAGTTACCTCCTCCTTCTGTCCTTGAACCAGCAGAGGAACAGGTCTTTTCGACCTTGACCTCTCATTCATACTCCTCACACACTGTTAACACGTCAGAGGGACTAGCAAATCCCCTTTTTAGTTAGGCTATATTACAAACCTAGTTGTAATATACATCTAGTCATTTTTAGACCATAGTTATCTTTGGCTAACCTTGTAGTATTTTTTTATAGAGACTTTTCGGTTAGCTTAGCCAATTTCTCTTGCTGGTCCCCCTCGACACAAGACAGTGATTTCGGTCGTCTACACAGGCCCCTTGGCCTTCATTGGCCAAGGGCGCCGATCTACGGGCTGTGTATTAAGTTACGCTCCCATTTCTTTTTGTCTGCCAACTTGACGATAGTTGGGAACTTTCTTTCTCTCTCTTCCTTCCCAACACGTCAAGTTGGCATCCAGGCAATGACAAACAACGTTGGCAACACGAACTGCTGCAACAAGTTGGCACCCCGGCAATGACAAACAACGAGTTGGCAACACGAACTACAGCAACAAGTTGGCACCCGGCAACGACTCAGCTTCAACAACCAACAAAGATCATCCTGGCATCACTCAACATCAACAACCACCAAGCGATCATCCTGGCAACAACCCACATCAGCTTCAACCCCCAACAACGATGATCCTAGCAACTGCCAACCTCGACCATCAATGCCTGCACTAAAACTTCTGCAGTATCCAGCACTCCTGCAGCATCCGGCTCACTCCTGCAGTATCCAGCACTCCTGCAGCTTCCAGCACCTCCACCGTTTCCGACCATCTTCATTTCCTTTTCCTTTTAGAATAAACCTCTATATATCATATATATCCTCGTTCTGTCGTCCATATTGTTTCACGGTCAGATTTAACGTCTTCAAAAATGTTAGCGGGCCTCTTGTGACCTCGTTCACCCCTTTCCGTAATACGGGGCCACTGGACCCCGCCCGCTACAGATATTACATTTGCAACTATTTATGTTTAATTTTACTATGGTTATTTAAAGTATTATGATTCCCATAAGTTAACTTTTCTTCCTTTATTATCATTATAGTAAATATAAAATGCTCAGTTACAGAGTTAGAATTTCAGTTTCACGCCTGTTACAGTATCTATGGTAAAAGAATGTCAGATTGAAAGACTGGTATCTACGACCCACTCAATGTGGCTGAGCAGCCAAATAAAAACAAGAAATAGTATTTATTGGTAATACTTGCAATTTTGATACAAGTTAGTAACACTAAATGTTGATGGTTATATCACTTTCTACTTTTGGTAGATACAGTTGCCTTATTTTCATCTTTGTCATGTAAAAGAAACTTTCTACTTGGCTTGTTAGTTAACAAAGGATTTTTGAAAATTGCTTTTATTTTAATGCTTATGAAACCAATTTATGCAATGCTTTCCTTTTTATGCTTAATAACAAGTCTAAAGATTAACATTCCTTAAGTCTTTAAAAAAAGCCTCGACTCACATACTATAATTATTGCTCATCATAAGATATTCGATTATTTAAGACTACCCACTTGATTTCCTTAGCCATACTTATTTTTTTTTTTTTTTTTTGTATTGCGAGGGCTATTATATCAATTCAAAATTTAAATATAAATGAACATAAAATTAAATTTATTAGTGATAACCTAAAGAGTTATCACTAATAAATCAAAACAGAACAAACCATATAAATTTATTTTTTCTAAGGGGTTATGATTAATGAATCAAAATGCTATATACTCTTCAACTTTCTCAACTAATACAAACATCACAAGAGATTCTTTTCTTGGTAAAGATAATAAGTCATGTAAAAGAAACTTTCTACTTGGCTTGTTAACATAGGATTTTTGAAAATTGCTTTTTTACTGCTTGAAAAGTTGACTTTTACCCCATTGTATGTGTGGTATGGTATATATTTTTGATGTTTGAATCATTCTTGATTAGCACTTATCAAAATTATTTCCACAATATGGCAATTCTTTTCTAATTGTACAATATAACAGTTTTTTCCTAATTGCATAATATGACAGTTCTTTTCCAATTGCAAAACATGACATTTTTTTTCTAATTGTACAATATGACAGTTCTATTCTGGCCTTTTATGTCATGTGACACATATACTATCTCTGTCTAGAGAAATACAGTCTGGAAAAAAATATAGAAGAAATTGGTTCTCACCTTCTTGGAGACTTTTTCCGCTTGACACAATATTTACATATGATGAAGACAGTCACCACAATGAAGAGCCCACCTACAACTCCTGCAGTTAACACAATGACTGTTATCTGCGGAGCCACACTGGAATTAGGTCTTTCCGGTGTTACCTAAAACAAAACACAAAAAGTAAAAATATAAATCAATATATTCAAAATGTCACTCTGTTCACAAAGGGGGGAAATGAATGTGAGGAACTGGATAAAAGGGATTTGACAAATCCACAGCAAATCAAAAAAGGATTTTGTCATCTTTTACAAAACTCTGGAAGAGATAAAAATAATTTTGCTTTGTTCTATTCAGACGAAAGAGATTTTTCGATTGTAGACAAGGCATCTGTATAATATTAACAGACTATAATTGCAGATCACTAGGTTCCCCATGATCTTCATTATGTTATAAAGCTTTAGAAAAAATCAAAAGGTACAGATATATACCTATTTTATATATTAATTCTGTCAGAACTGGTTTGACTATTTAGAAAGGATTTTAAATATTGACAAATTTGAAATGAAATAATTAACAATGTAATTTTATATTGGAACTTTGGTCTGTTTTTTTTTTTTTTTTAATCTTTAAACTTTATAAGATTTTGTCTTGAAAATATCTGTCTGACTAGAGGGATAATGTATAATTTATCTTGCCCAAAGCTGACCCAGAACTGTGCAGTACAGTCATTTATTCCCTTGAATTGGTTTCAGAAAATTTTATCCCAAGATTAACTTCTGAAGTATATTTATTTTTTTAAACATTTTTACCCTAAGCAAGGTGATAATGCCACTAAGATGCAGGCTTTTCTGGGAGTGGAAGAGAATGAAAAGACTTATTTGACGAGAAAGGACAATAAAAAAACAGGATCCAGGAAGACAGAAGATGGCAATTGATGTTGCATTTGCATTTAAAATTTTAAAAACTTTTAGGTAGCCATTTCAACAGTAAAATGAGGAGACCTATCTGCCAATCTAGTACTGCGCTTAAATTCATGCGATTAAGGTACCAAGGAGGAGAGCTCATTAGAACAACTGCATAAAAATATTTATAGAAAAGATAGCGAGAAGCCACATTATGGCAGTGGGAAAGTGACTGGCACCAAGATGCCAGATCAGGACCAATAGCATGACAAATCCTTATTTGGATTTTGTTGAGAATCTTGAGATATATAACTGGAGTACCAGATCTGATATGGCAGCAATATCCAATGCATGGATAAATGGTATATTTATAAATGTAAAGGATTAGATAAGATATAAAACTACTTTAAAAGCAAAGATATTTTAGGTGTTCATAGGATTTATTTGATAGGCAGAATTAAATTGGTAATTACCACTAAAAGAAAAAGGTTTTATTATGGCTTAATTGAATTTACTATTTTGACAGATTAAAATAGCAAAAAAAAAACAAACTAAGTAGCCTCAGAATTGTAGTTTTGTGTAAAATACTGAACAGAGGTGATCTGATTCATAATTAATTTCACTTTTACTATGCTGAAAATCTTTAAAAATTGATTTTCCAATTGACTGAGGAAATTGTCAGAAAGCCTATAACCTACAGTCCTTACCAATATCATTGTATCTATTGGGCCATGCATGTAAACCCATGATTTAATGGGTGGGGAGCAGTAACATGCATGCTTCATCCTATGTAAAGAATAAACCCTAATGCACAAGCCTGAGGTTTTGCCACATACCTAACTGGCAGAAAAGAGACAATGTTTCAAAACTGGACTCTCGTGTCACTTGTCACTTCTCTGAGCATTGCTGGCTAAAGGTAGACTTTTGACAGATATTAAATTTGTCTTCAGTCATGATGATATTTGGCAAACATATTTCAGATCAATGAATTTCTGGCAAAGTTTAATAAATGTACCTGCAAAAAAATGGTGTATCAAAAGAACAGTTTTTCTCTTAACACTGCCATTACTGAATACTTTCTTGGCAATTCCTATTGTTTTAAAAAAGGTGTTTTTAGAATGTTAAAAAAAATCATAACAAATGAAACTGGATTTATGCATTTTCTTTTTCTTGTAAATTGGAAACTAAAAATATTAAATACTAGCAGTAGAGCCCGGCATTGCCCGGGGATATAACAGTAAGAGATAGATCAAGTATCCACCATCATAAAGACTGAAAAATAAAATTGACAAAGATTATTGTTTAAGGTTGACAGACTGGCATGTCTTAATTAGTTTTTTTTTTTTTTACGAATTGGTCAAACTCAAACAAAAACATTGTTTTCAATCGTTATGAGTCTACTGATTGAATAGAATTTTATTATAAATAATTGTCTTGTAAATGGAATTTTTAAAGCATTCTGAATGTAAAAATAAAGAAAAAAGTGTGCAAGACAATAAGAAACACTACATGCCAAAAAAAAAAGTGAAGTTTTGTTGAAATCGATTGAAAAATGTAGGTAGTCTTTCTGTAATCTTTTAGTTTTACAATTTATGATTTTTACTTATTGAATACAGTAATAAAAATTGCATATTTTGCTTGTGGTGATTCATAATTAGAATTCTGATTTGAATATTTTCCACTTGTTGTTTCTAATACAAAAAATATTAACTTTATTTGGGTTTATTAATTATGATCTAACAAATCTTATTCATTTAGTAGCCTTTCTGTAATAATAATCTTTTACAATTTATGATTTTTACTTATTGAATACAGTAAAAAAAATTGACACCATGTGTATTTAAAGTAGTTTCCCGTTCCGGTTATTATTTTTAGTTAGGACTTGTGTATGTTTAGATTTCATTATCTTTCCCTAAAGATAAAGAATTTATCCGATGTTTGTATTCGTAAAATCAGTAGAGATCGTTAAATTATTGTTTAAGGTTAACGGACACGCATGTCTTAATTAGTTTTTATTTTTTTTATTTTTTACGAATTGGTCAAACCCAAACAAAAACATTGTTTTCAATCGTTATGAGTCTACTGATTGAATAGAATTTTATTATAAATAATTGTCTTGTAAATGGAATTTTTAAAGCATTCTGAATGTTAAAAATAAAGAAAAAAGTGTGCAAGAGAATAAGAAACACTACCACAAAAAAAAAAAAGTGAAGTTTTGTTTTATCGGCTGAAAAATATAGGAAATCTGCTCCCATATTTAAAGTAACCCACACACACAAACAAACCGATGTGAGTTGTCCCCCTTCCATTTTCACGATGTCTCTTAATCGTGTTTTTAAATTGATTTTGTGCAAAAACAATTATATTTTTCCCATTTTTGGTGCTGTTAGAACCACCAGAAGGTAATTTTATGTAGTCCTGTGAAGTTTTGTTGAAATCGGTTGAAAAATGTAGGAAATCCGATCCAATATATAAACGTTACAGACACACACACAATCTACGTTTTTTAATAAGTAAGATTATTTTTTTATTTGATTGTTTATTAATTTTATATTTACAAGTTTACGAAATATATGAACCAACTACAATGAAATATTTATTTACCATATTATGATGAAACATGATAACAATTTTTTACACTATTTACATTGTTCAGACTATCGTCCTCATCTTTGTTGCCATATTTATCACAACGTTTCAGCCGTTGTACATTCCGGCCTTCTTCAGGTGGTTGGAATGTTGATCTGAACCTTTTATTTTGCTCACTGGGGTAGACTGTTCTAGTTCCACGTGCCATGTCTAATGGATGTCAGTTATCAGTTATCTCCTGCTTAATTCCCTCTCCAAGTACTCCACTGCCTTAACCAGGTATTGAACTCACACGCACAATTTTCTATTCAGAAATTGATGAAAAATTTGAATGAATTGTAATTACAAAATCTGAAAAAATGAATTTTTCGGACATTTCTTTCATTTGCTCTCACCATATAAATTTACTAAAATAGGTTGTGAGCATGTATTTTAAGTGGAATTAAATGTAGAAAAGCGTGTGTATATCAGCTTCAGTTTCAATGAAACATATTTATTAATACATAATATTTTTATATTTACATGTATTTGGGATTTTATATACATACATATATATATATATATATATATATATATATAAATAGAACAACATTTTACAGAAAAACACATTAATGCATTAGCTGCTCCCCATAATGAGACTGACCATAATTTTGAATTTTGATATAAAAAATGCTACTCTGATGAAAGAGAAAACAATTCACTAAGACAAAAATGTTTAGAATTCCTGAAAGATCTTCTGTTATCATAGTGTTGGGATATTCTAATAAAAAAACGAGATGGAAACAAAAAGGAAAAAAAATCTAAATAAAATCCTCTAAATTATATATCCAAAACACATAAATTTTTTTAAAATTAAAAATAATTTAAAATTTAGAATTCCCAGCAGCTCTCTTTCATACACATGTAGTAGCACCAATGGAAACAAATTTAGTCCAATGACATATATATATATATGAAGAAATATAGTCTTAAGGTGTGCTATATTTATGGGATAAAGTGCTCAATATTAGAGATAGAGCGTGTGTAAATATAAAAGTGAACATAGAAGTCAAAACTTAGAGGCGACAGTCTGTTTCATGCTATATATATATATATATTTGTGTATTTAGGCAGCAATCCTTTCATTCACATTTCATTGAATGCTTTGATTTAGTTTTTATACAATTTCTCATGTGATCTTAGAATTTTTTTCTTTTCGGTAGATAAATTATATAAAAACTGTCTGAATGTTCTTTTTTTCTGAGTGCTTTCGGATATATATTTAGCCATTTTCAAGATTGAAATATGTTAACTATTAACAAGAAATAAATTTGTTATGTCGTGTATCCCTTAAGTTCGTATTCAACTTCCGTTCTCGTTGGTGTCCATTTATTATATATGAGCTACCTGCTCATATGCAAATTATACTAATTTGCATATCACTACATCTCCCTATAACGGAGGGGCCTTATGCCGCGAGTACTTCTTGTACTTCTTCTTGTGCCCTCCTGAACATCTTCCTTTATCTCTCTCCTTTCCCTTGGAGATCTAGATCTATCACGTCTTTCCCTATAATCAAATTGTTCCTCTTGCATACTCTGGTCTTCCTCTTCTAACTCATCTCTCTCTACTTCTTCCTCCGCAGTTTCATTCTGCATTAACTCTTCTGATACATCAATAATGGGCATCTCTGAAGGCATTTCCTCATCAGATTCTTCTCCTTGGGATCTTATTTGGTCAGCATGAGCTAGAACACTGTTCCCATTTTCTTTATTTAATATTGCAGTATTATGTCCTTTCTGCATAATAAATTTGGCTGACTCTGGTTGCATATTCCTATTTTCTTTTGTACCACATCTTTTGATTTGTGGCATATGACATAGTCAAAGGGGACCTTAATTGTCTGCCCATTAAGGCAGATGGACTTTCCGGCCTGCCTGCATGTGGAATTGTTCTGTAACTTA